ATGAAGGCTGGTCCCCATTACTCCGAACTGTTCATTCTGTTTTATTGCGTAGTCCTGCTCATTTATTAAAGGAAGTAATTTTGGTTGATGATGCTAGCGATAAAGGTTTTTTTGAATTTAACATTTAATTTTGAAAATTCTTTTTAGAACATTTAAAAACAAAATTAGATGAATATATTAAACAATTTGATGGAAAAGTTATTTTGGTTAGAAATAAAGAACGTGAAGGTTTAATTAATACAAGAACAATTGGGGCAAAAGCAGCTTCTGCTGATGTTGTTATCTTTTTGGATGCACATTGTGAAGTTAATAGAAATTGGTTACCGCCTTTATTGGCACCAATTAGAAAAAATAGGTTATTTTTAAATACTAATTATTACGGTTAGGTTGCAATATGTGCTAACACGTACAGGTTTTCGTGTAATTTTTCTAATTCCGTATTATCTCTGATTCCTTTACTCTTAATTATGTTGATAGATTAGAAAATTCAGTGAGAATTCAATTTCTTTCTGTTCCTTTCTCTAATTGGGGTCTATTATTTTCTTTTTAAATGATTTCTGTTATCTTTTAAAATTTTAGGAAGGTTATGACAGTTCCAGTTATTGATGGTATTGATATGAATACATGGGAATATAAACGTGTTTATGGAGAAGCAAATAGACATTTTCGTGGAATTTTTGAATGGGGATTGTTATATAAAGAAACTGCTTTGCCTGACAGAGAAAAGAAGCATCGACAAAAAGATAGTGAACCTTTTAGGTTTTTTTCAAAAATTTTAACTTTTTTAAAATATTTGTAAAGATCTCCAACGCATGCTGGAGGACTTTTTGCAATAGACAAAAAATGGTTTGAAAAACTTGGATATTATGATCCTGGATTACAAATTTGGGGTGGAGAGCAATATGAATTGTCTTTTAAGGTTTTTTTTAATTAATTTTTAAATTGACTAAAAATTTTTAGATTTGGCAATGTGGAGGCGGAATTCTTTTTGTACCATGTTCTCATGTGGGCCATGTTTATAGACACCATATGCCTTATAATTTTGGTAAATTATCTGGAAAACCGGTTATTTCTACTGTAAGTTTGATTTGTTTTGATAATTTTTATTTCTTTTTAAAGAATCTTCTTCGTGTAATAAAAACTTGGATGGATGATTATGGAAAATATTATTTTATTAGAGAACCAAATGCCTTATATCGTCAACCTGGTGATATTTCTAAACAACTTGCTTTACGAGAACAATTAAAATGTAAATCTTTTCAATGGTTTATGGATAATGTTGCTTATGATGTTTTTAATGATTTTCCTTTACCTCCACCGAATGATGTTTGGGGCGAAGCTAAAAATCATGCCTCAGGTAATACTTATCTTTAAAATCATAATAATTAATTTAAAAATAGATAAGTGTATTGATACAATGGGAAAAGGAAGTTCTGGAGTTATTGGTGCTACACCATGTCATGGTTATGGAGGGAATCAACTTGTAAAGTTAAATACAAAAGGACAGATGACACAAGGAGAGTGGTGTTTAACACCTTCAAGTGGTTGGGGTGGACGGATACATAGTGGTTATTGCCCAAAGGGAAAAGTGGATGGACCTTTTAGTTATAATAGGGTAAGTTGATATAATTTTAATAATTCTTTTTTTATAATCTAAATTTATTGTATAGGTGGGAAAAGATAAAAAAAATTAGGGGCAGAACCGAAAAAATTTAATGAGAAAAGCAAAAAGTAGAATACTGGTCACTTAGGATTTTTCTTGAACCTTCTGAATGTACATAATCATTAAATAAAAAATTTCCTAAAAAAATTTTTTAGGAATCAAAACAAATTCGTGTTGCAAGTTCTGATTCTTGTTTAACAGCCGATAAAGAAAAGGATTCTAGTTTACTTATTTTACGAAAATGTGATTCTTCTAATGCTTATCAAAAATGGGAATGGACAGAAAAATATTCTTAAGCATAATTTACTTTAATTTTTATTTCTAAATTAATCTTTTAAAAATGTTATCTTTCCCCTTTGGGTGCCTTTAATTTATTTTTAATTCGATTTTGGTCATTGCGAGTATTTACTTATTTCTTTTCTTTATTGTATGTAAATGTTTACTGCTATATTGATATTTTTTTGGATTAAAACTTTTTCTTACTCCAACTTGTTCAATTTCGAATACTCTTGAAATTTAATGGGCTGGGAGCTGGGGGAATTTATTAAATTTCAAAATCAAAAAAATTTACATTGTATTTGGGTTTAAAAAATTGCTGAATAGGTATTTTGATATTCCATACTATGTATTTTGTTAATTATTTTCAAGTTAAACAATAACTTGTTTGAAATAAATACATTTTTTTGTATTATCTAATATATTGTACTGCCACTTAGAAATCAAGTTATATTGTCAATAAATTTATTTCTAAGTCTTTCCCGTCATTAAATTATTTTATTGAAATTAAACTTTAATAAGGTCTTGACTTATTTACTTTAGTAAAACTGTCGATTTTATAAAATATTTCACCATGATTCTTACACTAAAAATATATCAGTCTTTGCTTTAATTTAAGGAAGAAATACTTATTCCCCCATTTACTAAATACTTTAAAGTGATTGCGCAAATCTTGAAAGATCCTTCCTCTCTCCCAGCTGTTCTTCATCTCTCTAAATATATTTTTGAAAAAGTATGATTGTCAAACAAACAAAGAGCTAATACTTGAAAGTAAATAAATGAAAAGCTTTTTCTAAAATAAAACTTTAGTCAAAGCAACTTTTAAATACTCTCAAATTCTTTTGTGTTTTGATAATTAATTATTGTTTATATTAATTCTTTTAATATTCTCTAATCTACAAAATTTAATAATTTATTTGTTTTTTTCTATTTAAATGGTAAATTTGTGTAAAATCGTTTCTTATAAATTGCAAAAATTTAGGCTGAAAATATTGAGGAAATATTAGCAGAAATTGATGAAGACCAAATTGAAGGTTTTAAAATTTTTGTAAAAAACTAAAATTTATTTAAAAACTCCGTCCATAATTCATCTTTACTTTCCTGAATTTCATTTTATATTTTATTCTCTCAATTTAGAATATCAACACTTTTTTGATTTGTTTGATAAAGGTAAGAATGGTTATATAATGGCTACACAACTTAGCCAAATAATGGATGTTATGGAGCAGGATTATGATGAAAAAACTTTGAGAAAGTAATTTTTATAGAAAAAAGATGAAAAAATTCTATAAAGTAGTAAAATTCAGAATTGAGTTTTTCGCTCGAAAAAAAAGAAAATAGTAAAAAATAAACAAAAAAAAACACATCACATTTTTTGTTTTTAACCATCCAAAACGAATTTAAAAATTATTTTTCATTATTTAAAAAAAAAAGATTAATTCGAAAATTCGACGCTGATGGTTCTGGAAAATTAGAATTTGATGAATTCTGTGCTTTAGTCTATACAGTAGCAAATAGTGTAGATAAAGAAACTCTTCGAAATGAATTAAAAGAGGCTTTTAGATTGTTTGATAAAGAAGTAAATTAATTAAAATAAATATTTAAATTAAAATTAAAAAGGGTTATGGGTATATTTCTACGGGAACATTAAAAGAACTTTTACATGAAATAGCCCCAGATCTTAGTGATAAAGAATTGGATGATGCTGTTGATGAAATAGATGAGGATGGATCGGGGAAAATTGAATTTGAGGGTAATTGAATGGAAATGAAATTAAATAATTATTTTAATTTTTAGAATTTTGGGAATTAATGGCTGGTGGGGAATATGATTAAAAATAGATTTTAAAGAAATATATTAATTATTTAAATATATTTTAATTATTATTAGCTAAATATTTTTTGTGAAAAATATTTTCTTGTTTTTTCTTGTTGGATAACATTGTGAATTAAAATCCAATAAATTTTTACACTGCGGTTTTTTCAATTCCTCACATCTATTTTAAATATTTTAAAGAAATTTCTTTATATGTATTTTTGATATTTTTTTATTTTCAATTAATTTAAATATTTGCTGCTTTCTAAAAATATTTTTTAAATTGTAAAAGAAAATTTTTTATAAAGGATTTATGTAATTTTTTGTAACGAGAAAATTATAATTTCCTTTTTCAGGAAAAATTCGAAAAAATATTCCTGACCAACAACCTAAAATCGTTTCAGCGCCAATTAAATTCTCTCGAAAAACTTTTGATGGTAATGTAGGTTAGAAAGGGAAAAAAGTGTACAGATTAGAGACTGTGAGGAAAATAAATAGTTAACTAAAGAGAAAAAAAGTATAAAGAAGAAGAGGAAAATAATGTTTATTTTTATTGTTCTCTTACTATTGTTTGCTAAATATCTAATATTTATTAACAATTTTTTCCTTTTTACGAATATTTTCCTATCAGGATAATTCAACCCCCTCTTGAACATCTTGTTTTATATTTTTGAATGGGAGTTTTTAACTCCCAAATTAATATTTTTTATGTCGGGACTGGACGTCCATCAATGGACAATCCGGGAGTGTCGATATTCTTACCTCTGCTCAACCTGCCGCGTCCAAAAATTTTCATTTTTTCGTATCGCAATTATAAGAAATATCGGAAATTTTGAGATTAATGAGGAAATCAGCATATTTGGCCAGATTAAAAGAGATAAGTGAATTTGTGAGATATTGGGGATTTCAAAGGATACACTGCGCTGCAAAAGTTTATGCACACTTGATAATATTTTTTTCGCTACCTTATAACTTAAGATGATAGACTATTTAGAGTATGCTCTCTCTAATGAATACAAATTTTATCAACAGCAACAATAATTTGACAATTCTCAAATTTATAAAAAGTGTTCATTTCTAGGGTCCAAAAGTTTATTTTCAACTTAAAGAATATGTTGAATTAAATATTTCTATCAAAAAAAAGTTTCTTTAGAATAAAAGATATTAAGCAAATTTTTTAATAATTTTTCTAAAAACCTACTATAATTTGATTTTAAATATGAAAAATAAATAAATATTTTTTAAATTAATTTTTAAGTTTCTCAGGTAATCCCATTCTACGTCTCCAAGCAGTTGCTTGTTGCTCTTGTTGACGCATATTTCTTGCAAATAAATCCCTCATGTGACAACTTTAAAATAATTTTTAAAAATAAATATATGTATTTATTTATATTCAACTAAATTGCTTGTTTAACATCTCTATTACTGTCCCCAGCAAACCAAAAAGTTAATAAATCAACAACAGAATCATAATTTTCTCCTAAAAATATTCAGAATTAAAAAATAATTTAAAATTAACCAGTTAAATAACTCAAAATATTACAAACATAAAATACAATACATTGCCAGTCCTTAAAATAAAATTATTTTAAAGTAGAGTAATTATGTACATATTAGGAAAAGAATAATTAATTGAACAAATACCACAAATATTTTTTAACATTTAATATTCTATAACGCCCCCACTTCAAGCAGGAGGGTGATTGAAAAATAAAATGGCGGTCATTAAATTAAAGGTAATAAATGGGTATAAAAATTAAATTATATTTGTTGGTTGGAAAGTATTTAATTAATTAAAAAATCAAAAGAATTATCTTAATAATTTCTGGCTTAGATTTGAAAAAACATTAGTGATTTATCTCGAATATTTGTTAATATTCCCTTCCCCCTCCTATTTTTCTATTAAATATTTACCGCATATAAATTAGCATCTTTATTTGTATGTAAATCTTGAATATCAAACAAATAAAATTCATTATTATTATCATAATAACTATCATATTCTGTATCCATTGTTGTCGGCCTTTCAATTGAATTTCCAGCAGATATTGGAAGTTTTGAATTTTTTTCTAATTTATTTTTATTTGGTAATTCTTTTAAATTGAAGTTAAAATAAAAATAATAATTATTAAATTTACCAGTAATTACATTTAAATTTTGTTCTTCATCAACTGATGTCCTCCCATTTTTAGCAGTTTCGTCCGATATTTCCTAAATTTATTAAATTTTTATTTAAATATTATTTTGGATTAGTTCCAGATTTTTCAAAGTGATTATATAAGTATATTCTTTCTCAGTTTAAACTTATTTTATATTTTTGGAATAAAAAATAATATTTTTACATTAACAGGAGTTTCATTTTCAATTTGTTTAGCAATTTCATCAATTTCTTGATTATCATTATTTATTTCATTTCCGTTATCGTTGCTAGTGGATGGCAACTAAAAAAAGAAAAAAATTATTGGAATTAGAAGATTTTGGCCTGATTTGACTAGGAAAGGAATTAAATTACCATTTCTTTTTGTTCTTCTTCCTTCTTCTCTTCCTCTTCATTTTTAGATTCCTCCAAATTTAAATTTTCCTCAATTTGTTTAATCGTTTCATTTTCTATTTTTGTATTATTTTCACTTAAATTTTCTTCATTTTTATTATTTTCCTCAATTAATTGGTTATTAATTGGTTCAATTGGATTATCAGGAGAGAATTGGCCTAATACTTCGATTAATACTCGACGTGAACAATAAGGCCTTTTAATTGATTCCAAGAAAGCATTTAAAAGAGAAATCTTTTTTTGAAAAAAGTTTTCAGTTTAAAATACCCCTCCCTCCCTTACCAATTGTGAAATATCCATTTCTTTAATTAAAGAGTCAATAGTAACCAAACTAATTTGTTGAAATTTTCCAATTAAATTTTGGTCCTTTTCATAAGGAAATGCAGAACAACGAGCAAATAAATTAACTACTTGGCGAACTTGTAATTTTCTAAAAAATATTTTTTATTTGAAAATTAATTTAAAAAAACCCTTTAGGTGTAAAAGCATTTCTCCAATTTACATGAATTGTTCCAAAAGTACATGAACGGGCGTGGTGTTGTTTATCAGTTAAAGGGGCATAATAAATTCCTTGAGGTCCAAAAACCATTCGAAGAAGATTATCTCCAAGCATGTAAAGTAACTAAAATAAATAAATAATTTTTACACAAAATCCAGGCCTTTCTCGATTCGAACTAAGAAAGTTTTAAACGTATTTTGAAAAAAATCAGATCCCTATATTGTCAATATTTTAATATAATATATTAGAATTTTGACCTTTTTAGAGGTCTCAGAAAAATAAGATTTCCAATATAATTCAAAAAAACACCTTTGGAATGTGAGCAAACCGACGTGCCTGTTCATTTGGGAGAAATTGTCTTTGGCGTGTCATTAATTGTCTTAAACTAATCATTCCATTATTTGAAATAAATAAAGAATTAGGCAAAGCTGTGCCGTTTTTATAAACATGATAAGAAAATTCTTTTTAAAAATTATTTTTTAATTTAAAATAATTCTTTATTTACCTTCAACTGCATTTATTTGTTCCAAACTTTGGACAGAGTTGGGCCTTTGATAAAATTAAAGGCCAATATTTTTATAAATTTTTAAACTCTACCTTGCATTACGTACAAAATCTATAGCTTCAGAAGTACTTATCCCTTTAGCCCAAACTAAAAAACAAGCAATTAATGTGCCTGTTCTACCTAGAAATAAGTAAATATTTAATTAAATCACTTAAAACAAACCAAGACCAGCGTGGCAATGAATAGCTACACGGCCTAGATTAAAAATAATTTATGTATATTTTATAGTCTTTAGTTTTCTCATAGGAATCTTTAGAAAATATTTAATACAGTTTTCCTTTCTCATACAGGGAATCTCGGTAATATACATCATAATCATACATCGGTTCCGAGAGTGACGCATTAGTGGGATTCCACTGTATGTAAATATAATATTTACAAATTAATTTTATCTCAATTATTCTCCTTTTATTTAAAAAATATTTTCTCTCACCTTTTTTAAGTGAAAACCAAATAACTTTAGCAATATTTAAAATTGAATGAACAGAAATTGTACCAAAATCAGGAATTCCAAAATTGTAATAATAAACTTTAAAAGAAACTTTTTTTCTTTTAATTATTTAAAACCCAAACTTTGTTTACTCATAAGAATTTCTGGGTCATAAGAAAACCCTGTATGAGTAATTAATTGGGGACCACAAAAATCATGTTCATTAACGCATTGAAGATTTATTAAAGTTTTTATTTTTTCTTTTTTAAATTGTTCTATTAAATTAAATTCATTAAATGTTCTCTCTGTTGGACGTGCCATAGCTAAAATATTTTCATCTATCCTAATTTTATTAAATAAAAATATTAATTTAAAAAAAAGAGGCACACACCAATTAGAATAAACACCACGAATTGCTTGTTGATCTTCATTCCAATTTTCTGGATTGCAATAAATACACTTTGAACCTCTTTAAAAATTATTTTTATTAGGTAAATTTATTTAAGGAGGGAGAGGAATTTAGTAGAAACTATCTTGTTGGTACAACCGGAGACAATGTAATTATTAGATACCGTAAATATCCTAATAGAAGCCCTGGGGGCTCGTATTTCTCAATACCCCTCATCGAGTGGGCTCTAATAGGGCATGAGCTTCTATTAGGATATTTACTGTATTTTTTGTTTAATTTTTGATAAAAATTCAGCCGTTCTAATTTTTTCTAATTTAAATTTATAAAAAGCTTATTAACCCCCTCAACATCTAAATAATTATTTTTCATATTTTAACTTCCATTTTATAATTTAAAATAATTTTTTCTTCTCAAACTCCTCTCAATTTCTTACCTGCAATACAATTTACATTTCAAGCTTTCCGGTGTTAATTTAATTATACCACTTTTAAAACTCGAATATCCAGGTTTTACATTTGTTGCTGATGGTTGCCATTCAATATTACTTTTACCATTTTGTCTTTCAATAATTTTTTCTTCATTATTTGTTGCTATTATATTATCTTTACGGCGAGAAAAAAATCCACCGCCTCTAGTTACTCGTCTATGAACAATAACACGGCTACGGGCCTCATCTTCTTCCTCATCAATTTGTATAGTTTCTTCATCAGCCTCACGTTGTTGTTCAGGATTAGTTGAAATTACAACATTTTGATTTTCTTAAATATTAAATTTGCCATTTTCTTTTTTGTATAATTTAAGGAGAGCTAAGGGTACATTTAGATCACATTTAAATTTATTAATCTTAATTTGTATTAATTCTTTAATTCTCATTTTTTAGTACAATCCACCCCTCTGAAAGAAATTCATTATTAAGTCGAACGAGAATATTCTGACTGAGAATTTAAGAGGCACAAAAACTTGAAACATAGAGATGAAAAAAACTTTCCAAAACTTTAAAGGAGAAAAATACTTCCAAATTATTTTCCATACCTCCATTAATATTCTCTTGGCACTGTATCTCCTCTACATTATTATTTCCTATAGAAGGTGCATCAAGTCCACCCGGCTCCAATACAAGTGCAGTACCAGGCTGATTAACAATTTCCATATTTTAAGGAAATTCAGAATTTTTAAGAGAATACTTTTTGCGATTTTTTCAACAATACATACAAGAATTTAAAGTTAAAACAAAAATTTTAAATAAAAAATTTAGCACTCAAGTTGTCATGGAGATAAACATATTAGTTATTTACTCACGTTTAAATTATAACTTAACCAAAAAAATAAAAACAGAAAATTACTAGTTATATGAAAATAGTTAAAAAATAAATCAGACGACTAAAATTTTTATTTTCACTAGAACTAAATATAATTATGAAACTTAGACATTAATATCTTAATTTTTACCTTGACATTAGTAAATTAACGTGTTTAAATTACTATGTATTTAAATGCGAGAATACAATATTTAATCAGTATCCATTAAAAATCTATTAAACACCACTATGAGAAAAGTTTACTTGCCAGACTTTCATAGATCCTAAAGCTCGCTAAAACGTTTAAATGTCATCTAATTAATTTTCTATTAATTGCAAAACCTTCGGGTATAAAATAAAACTAGCAAACAATTAAGTTATTCTTCTAAGGGATGCCGCGTCAACAATTCTAGAATTACCTACCTAATTCTGATTTTCATAAAATTTCAAAAAATAACAATTTATCGAGACTCATTTCAATTTGTTTATAAACGATGAAGAAAATTGTAAAAGGTCAAAAAGCTCTCCTCCCTTTGAATCCCTTTATATAATCAATATTTTATATTTCTTAATCCATTTCAGCATCATTACATTCAGGTTTCGGGTTGGATGAATCCATTGTCTTATTATCAACATTCTCATCCTCACATTTTGCTTCAATATCTAAAAATAATTTTTAGAAATGGTTAAGAACGGAAGGAGAAAATAAAAGAGGGTTGGAAAAATGCGATAATTTAAAAACTGGTCATATCTTAAAAACATTTTCTACACCCCTCACATGCTCCTTTCCAAATTAAAAATATAACCTTGATTTGGCTGATCCTTTCCATTCTGATTACTATCTTCTTGTTTTGGCACATCAGCCTGTTTTTCTTTCTTCGCTTCAGATACAGCAAATAATTTACTAAGAGCTGGTTTACAATACTTTTCAAGTTCAGAATGCCGGCATTCAATTTGCTTAAAAATAATCATTTAAAAAAATTAATTTAAAAGTTTATAACCTTCTTCTGTAATTCAGTAGAATTCATATCAAGCCATTCCAATACTTCAGAACATTCATTAAGGCAAGAAAGTCGCACGTCTTCTGTCACTTTACCCTCACACTTAAAAACAAAATTAAACAAATAAATATTTAAAAAATTTACAGCTTTCGTATTTTCAAAAGTATGTTGCATTCTAAAACAATATTCTTCCAAAGCATTCTTTGCATCAGAACGTTCAGTAGCTCTCTGATCAGCGGCTTGCATATCTTTCTTAAACAAAAAATACATAAAGGGAATATTCACGATTAATTTGTTAACGAGGTAAAAATAAAACCGAATCATCCCTCCTCCATTGTCTGATTAGTCTTTATTAGGCCTATCTAAAAAATGGCTATCTAAATAAGTAATATACCTCAATTTTAAGTAGCTCCGCAACAGACTTTTCAGTAGGCAATTTACTAGTTTCCAAAACTAAATCAAAAGGATCTTCTAAGGCAAATTCTTTCATTTGGTAGGCGGGGTAAAACATAGCAGAACGAAGAGCACATCCTCTTGCAATTGCATCATCTTGATTCATTGTAGTTCTCGGCTCCTTTTTGAAAAATTCTTAAAAGATTATATGTAAAAGTGAAGTTGGATAGAAGTCAAACCTCCAATAATTTGCTTAATTCGAGGAATTCGAGAAGATCCACCGATAATTTCAACATCCGAAACGTCCTCCACATTTATCTGTGCACGCTCAAATAACGTATGAAGCATCAGATTTATTTTCTCAAAAAGATGGTGAGCCATTTCTTCAAATTGCGTTCTAAAAGATTTTTGAATGTTAACAAGGTTATATAAATTATAAAATAAAAAATTAATTAAATAAATGCTAACCTTTGCATGCTTCCACTAACATCAACATCATTCATGAAACATTCAATATGAAACGGAATATTTTGACTATTTGCTGACATTTGCTTTTTAAGCTAAAAACAAAAAATAATTAGCAAATATTGATTTGCAAACCTTTTCACATTCATCCAATAAACGGAACATAGCCCTCGGATTTTTAGTTACATCAATATTGTATTTCTCCTTGAATTGTACAACAAAATAATCACGTAAGAGTAAGTCAAAATAATGTCCTCCAACTTCCAAAGTGTGAGCAGCACTGAGTACCTGAATAAAAAAAATAGAAAAACACAGAAAATAAAAAACTTTAGCATTTCCAGCAATGAGGGCAATCAAGGATGTTTGTACACAAGAATGCCCACAGTCAACAAAAGCAACAATCTTTGGTGGTTCTTCCGATTTTGGCAAATTCATTCCCTTATAAATCCCATAATTATAGGCCAAAGCAGCATGCTCATTTATTAAACGAATTTTCAACGAAGCAATTTTCCCTAAAAATATTTAAAGAAAAATTGATATATTATTGACCTGCAGCGATAACAGCCAAACGCTGTTTCTCATCAAAATAAAAAGGAACCTGAAAAAACATTATGTATATTTAGAATAATGAAATTTAAAAACATACACTCATAACACACTCGTTAATATCAGCTCCCAAAGATTTACTCAAAAGTAGTCGAAGATGTGTAAAAAGACATGCAAGAACCTGTTCAGGTGTAAAAATCCTCTCTTCATTTAAATACATCACCTAAATTAAAATTTGGTCGAAAGAAAGAGATGAGGATGTATGTCAAATCATAATAAAATATAACAATGGGTTAAAAATCCAATGAAACAAAATCAATGACATTATGGAGGGGCTTCTCGATCAAAGATTTAACCAAACCTTTAGGCCGATGTCCCCATTTTTGAGTTGAACAATCTAAAATGAGTTAAATTTTTGCAAATTTTTAGGTTTTATCTAATAAAGAAGCTCACATCGCAGGGAATTGAAGAGCCAAATAAACGAATAAATTCCTCAGAGTACTGCTTTCCCAATAATTGTTTGAAGTATAAGACTGTGTTCTTGTAGTGCATGTTTAACTGTTGGCGTGCACCGAAGCCCATTAAACGCGATGTCTGCCCAAACAAAATACATGACCTGAGGAAAATAAAAAACTGCTTCTCAAGGTTTTTTTAAATAGACGTTTTGTTAAGAATAACGGGAGAATGATTAATAGAAAAATAGTTTAAAAATTATCTTATATTTATAAAACTTACGGAGTAGCATGAAGGGAATAGTCATTCATCAGCACTTCTAAATATAATAATTTATAAAGAAATTTTTTTTTAAATAACCAATTCCCTTATTTCTGGCCGCAGCCAGATAACAATTCATATTGCCAAAGTCAATTCCAGCCATAATAAAATTACAAAACCAAATAACAAAATTAAAAATTGATTCTTTATAAAAATAAATTTAAAGAAATAGTCACAAAATCGCAACAAAAGTATTCCTAAATAAGCAGAAAAGTAAAGAAATTTCATGAAAATTCTCGATTAACATTGTACACTTTGCCAATCGGGGTAAAATTGGATAATCGTCAATTGTACAATTCGCCAGTAAGGGTTAAAATTGACAACTTGTCATAGTCAGGTTAATTTCATTTTAGTGGCTTTTTCTCGTCTTTTTGTGAGTTATTCAATACATTTTAGTCGATTTTTTTTAATATTTAATTGATTTTTCAATTTTCGTATGCCTTTCTTTGTTTAGATTTTAAATAATTTTGTATTATTTTTCTTTCAGTTAAGAACAAATGCATTAAAGCTAATGCTGGTTTTATTTTATTATTTGTAGATATCTATCTGAATGAACGACTTGGTGCTTTGTCTTGGTGTTGGGTTTACAGATAATAAAGTTAGTTATGCTCACCTAATACGTTTGGATGATCCTATGTGTGTTTTAACTAGACGGTGTAAATCTGAGGATGAATTTATAATTGGAAAGTGGTATAAGGAGGAAAACGGGCATACAAGATCCTATAAGAACGTTGCCAATTTTGTGCCCACTAATTTGATTCGTCAAATTGAAAAAAATGGTTCTGGGAAGACAACAATAGAGGTTTTTTAACTTTTATTTTTACTTTTTTATCTTTTATTTTAAGTTAGTTTTGCCAGTATTTTTCGTTCCAGACTTGTCAGGAATGGATGTATTTGGGCATACGCCTTCATTGAAGAACCCAAATTCTCTTGGTATTCCAATTTGCCCATTTTTTGGAACGGATGTAAACGAGGTTTTTTTCGAAGTGATTAAATATATTTTTTTAGTTCATTTCACCCGTTAAATGGTCATATGGTTTTTGTTCTTATTCGGATCAACTATATTCTCTTAAAATTAATTTGTAATTAATAAATATCTATATTTTAATAATTCTCTTTTTTTTCAAGATCTTATGCAGTTGGAGTGCTTCCTGAATGGACACCTCAAAATGTTGGGATAATTAAACCCTGGAATTATGAAGAAGTTTGTCCGGATATGTTTTTTTAAAAAGAAAGATTTTAACTTTTTTCAGTACCCGTTTGTATCTATTTTCTGCTCACCTTTGCGTGATGAGGGAATTGTGGTAGAACAAGTTGCGTGCCCTTGGGATGTAAAAAGTTTTTATTGTTGTATGTTGCTTAATAAGAGTGCAGAGATGGTTGTTTCTATTGTGCCTGAAAGGCGAAAAGCTTTATTTGGGGAATGTAGAGTATATTGGAAATTGTGAATTTTAATTTAATTAAAATATTTTTTATTAATATTTTAAGTAAGCTTAATTGTTATGATTGTCCTGTTACTATTGCTATTGATTGCCCACAAATAGTTAATGTTTCTTCTGACAAACGATTGCAATTAAGAAAAGTTAGAAGCGATTTGGTATTTTTTAGTATATTATTTTTTTTATTTTATATTTATAGTTTGAATTGACATTAAGGAATGTCGATTTTACTTCTAGTAAATCTACAACTTCACATTATGTTCTTTCGTGGTTGGGTATTCTTATGGATCCTTTTCTAATTATCAAAGAAAAATTTGATCCTAAAAAGGTTTTGTTTTAATATGACGTTAACTTATCATTATTTCAATTTAAGGATGATAAAATGCCATTGAAACTGCAAATTAGGCCTACTTGGCACTTAGCTAAATGGTCGGTTGCATGGACTGTTGTAGATATTGTTAAGGAAAACAAAGTAGGTCAAGTTAACAGTTATGTTGGTTACGGGTACTTTACTTTTTGTAGCTTTAACTCAGAACTAGCTAGCGGAGCCATACCTTCATTGTTAAGTTCCTAAAGTCTAAACAATAGCTTTTAACTTGGATTTTAGCTGATTATTTTCAGGGGGCAATTCTTTTTATATCTCATCTTTGCATTTGAATTTTTTCTCTCATTTCCACTTTCTAACTACTTTATTCAAGTGGAGAATCCTTTTTTTACTTGGAGTGAATAAGTCACGTGCTTTTCGGATATATATTTTGTCTACCTTTCTTTCGAACTATTCCCTTACGTCTTATGTTGTTATTGTGTTCATTTTTCAAAATTTAAGTCTAACAGTAATGATCTGGTAAGGTATGAATCAAATGGTTATGTCTCTGATAATCGTGATGATTTATCTTCACCTTCTACATAGTAATATATATTTTTTACTTAATGACATTTTTCGAAATTTATAATAGTTTACTCCATTTACCTTCAAATGAAAGAAAGAAAACTGTTGCTGTTTTGATGACTGTTAGAGCTGTTCTATTTGATGCAGTTTTTCTTTTTTATAATCCAAAGACGGGTCAATTTACCCAAAGATCTTATGCTAAATTCCATAAAAGGTTTTTAATGTTTTTTTTTAATTTGTTAATACAATTTTAGCCTTTCTTTCGAATTTAATTTTGGAGAGTGGTTTGAGTTGGAGTATATGGATATTCCACAAAACAAAACACAAATTATTATACTTGCTTATTCCAAAGTAGATAAATTTGTTACTACTCGTGTTAGAGATGGACTTTGTGCTCAGGTTTTTTTATTCTATTATAAAATAGTTAATTTATTTTTCGTTAGTTCTCTACAAAGCAGGATCGTTTCCTAAATGTTTGGCATACAGTCTTCCCCTGCTTGGAAAAGAATTGTTATTACGAAGATATGGGTTGGTGGCCATGGTTATGTCGAAAATGTTTCCCGGGTTTATCTGATGTGGTAGATACAAAAACTAATGGAAGTATGACAGAAAATAATAATAGTAATGGCGAAGGAATTAGAGTTTCGGCGGGAGAAAAATTTATTCATTATATTTTACAATTTCAAAAGGATAAATCTAAACCGAGCGAATTGGAGGAATTTGCAAGGAGAATGCGCGATTCTTTTGTTTTTTCTTTCGATGATTTGAAGTATTTTTTAAATAATAAAAAAGATCTTAAGAATAATGATTGTGATGTATCTACGCAGTCTTCTTCTCCAGTAATTATCATGAATGATACAAAAGAACAGGATAAAAAACAGGATAATCAAATATCCGTAAAACCACAACAGAGACAGATTGTTGGTTATAGCGCTTCTGTGTACAAGCAAGGTCCATCAGAGATGGTTATGGCTGTTCTGATGGCTGTTAGACAAAATGGAGATTCAGTCTTTTTATTTTTTGATAAGGAGCAAGGAAAATTCTCTCATCGAGTTTATTCAGATCCACCAAACAAGTTTATTAACTTCTTTTTTAATTTTTAAATATATTTTTAATTTTAGAATTAGTGGAAGTCCAGAGATTGGTAAATGGTATAAACTGGAACATAGACATTGCACTAGCAATCTTGCATTAGGACAGAAAATTAGTATATGTTCGCTCGCGGCAATTGGGAATCCTGTAGAGACTCGAATAAAAAATGGAATTTTGGCTCAGGTAAAACTAAAAATAAATGTTGATAAAATCTCATAAATTTTAGTTTAATACAAAAGACAAATTCATTTCTGTATGGCATGACAATATTGAGAAATGGCATAACTATAAAGCTTCTCCTGACGGCCCTTGGTGGCCTAAGCTCTGTTCAATGTGTTACCCTTCTAGTTTTGTTGAACATGATAGACGATTTCCACGCATTCCTTCCCTTATTCATCACATTCCGCCGCCTATTCATCACATAATTCCGTCCATTCCTCCACCTGTAATAGCGCCACCACAAAGATCAAACAGCCAGCCTTGGACGGACAAACTTGATGGACTAATTTACACAGAATCTGAAGAATGCGATAGTGACGCAAGTATTAGTATTGGCCGAAAAGTGGCCGCTGGTTTATCACAACTTGATAATTCGGTTAGTCTTTAAAATTTATAAATATTCTATATTAGTGTCCGCGTTATTTTATCCATAGATTAGTGTTTAGTGTTAATTTAAATACATTTCTGATTTTTAAAATTTAAGCCTCTTATTGCTTACTCACCCCCATTGGATCAACAAAGAAAAACTAGTAATCCAAAAACACGTCCACAGCCCATCTCTGTCACTGGAAAACTCTTCTGTCGTGTAAATAACAAATCTTCTGACAACATAGATAAGATAAATACATCAACTAATTCACTGAATCTGACAAAAAATCCAGCAAAAGTTGATATGTTTGCTGAACTTGTAAAAGAGGAGCGGCAAGAAATGTCAAGTATTAAAGATTTGATTAAAGTTAATATATTTTAAATTTATTAAGATGAGAATATTGAGACAATCACGATGGGGTCGGTGATTTGTGAAGGAGGTTTTGGCAGTGCTCGTATGCGGAGATTTGTATCTGGTAGTGTAACAAGTTCAAACACATCTCCATCATTGAATTGATGGAAATGAAAATTTTAAAATTAAACCTCGTCATAGAATATTTATTTAGAATCTAATTTATTAATTTATTCAAAATCCGTCTGTTCTTTGTTGAGTGATTCTCGAAATACTAACAATTGACTCCTACTAACAACTTCTCTAATTATTTACTAAAAGGAATTGTATTTATTATAAATTCTTTAAAAATTGTTAGAAATACATACTAGTGAGTCTAAAAATATTTTATTCTATAAATCTTCAGTTATATCTTGTTATGGGTATATGCATTTGTTAATCCTTTTATTTTTATCCCATATTTGTTTTGGGGTATTTTATCACTTTACATAACCTACAAATTGTTTTTTACATGTTTATTATTTATTTCTCAAATTTACATTGTATTTCTATTTTGAGACTTTATTTACATTCTAAAAATAAAAGTAAAAACAAGTTAAATATTTTTGATTTTCAGGAAATTTAGTTTTATAGCAACAAATTAATTTAAAAATTAATTCCAAATACAAAGCTTTAACCTCATAAGATGGGAGAATTGATCAAAAAAATTTTTGCTTAAATTTAGTTCAGTTTTAGTAAAAACAACTCATTTTTATAACTCTATTATAAGCACAAAACATTAAGCATATTTATTAGTATTATATCTGGGAGGTACACAAAATAAAGACAAGAGATCGACGAGAAAATATTACCAACAACCAATAAAAATTAATAAAATCAAAGTTTATGTTCTTGTTCATTTTTGACAATTTTTCCATTTTTGTTTTTGACTTTCTAAATATTTTTTGTTGAAGTAATTTAATTTCATTTAAATTATCCAAATCGAAACATTGTACTTCCAAGTTCCCCAATATTTTGGGCATACATCTTTGGTGCTCCCGCATTCATTTCATTCCTTTCTTGACGAAGAAGTCCAGCCACAATAGCATCATTGTCATCATCCAATGCTTGGTTATTAAACTAAAAAAGGATTTTATTTTAATTTACATAAATATTTGTTTTCTGTTGTTTTCGATATTTATGCAAATATATCTATATTTGTGCATATATTTTAAAATTTTTAATATATACCTAATGTACTTTCAGTGTAAATAAGTTTTTTTGTTAGTACAATAAGAATTTTTAATAAAAAATAGAAAAACTAATTTTAACTTAAGAGATGTTAAAGTTTGAATTTGTTAATGTCAGGGTCAAAATATCTACAGGAAACCATGAATAACACCGAAAAGTGAACTTTTTTGTGATTAATTGTTAAATATGTATGTTTTTGAGTTTGTCAGAATTTAGACAACTTAAAAAATAATTAAGACACAGATTTCAAAACTTATCCAGATCTTCAATATATTTACAAATTCTCAATTTATTTTTAAATAATTAAATTTCCTTTAATTTAAAGAAAACTTACAATATTATTATTACTTCTTTTCTTCATTTCGTCATATTTTAGATTATTACTTTTCATTCTTAAAAGAGTATTGCCAAGATAATTAAGTCGTTGATTATTTTGATTTGGATGGTAAAAGTAATTTGTATTTGTAAATAGCAATCCATTTGGATTTACTAAAGAAATATATAATTTAAAGTTTAAAGCAAAAAAAAAGAATTATTTTTTACTTACAGACTTAGATAGAAAATAGAATTTTAGGGGTTAAAAGTTTTAACTTATTGATGTGGAATTAAATAGTGTAAGGATGATTCACCTAGCAGCATTTAAAACGCTTTGGCGGGGGTTAAACGATCTAAAAAGGAAAAAGAGAAAGCATTAGTCGATGCCCCGGTAGCTCAGAGGTAGAGCTCCTGCATATAGTGAGCGAAAGCGCCTAGCAACAACTAGCAGGTGGTCGCAGGTTCGAATCCTGCCCGGTGGCTAAACTTTTGCAAACTCTTTCTACAGGGAATATTGCTTAACAATAAGGTTAGTGGATAGGTGGAAATCTTCGGATATCCGGACCGATATCCGAACCGAAATTTTCCGGATATCCAGATATTAGTCAACCTCTCCCCCACCCAATTAGTAGACAATCAAATTTTAAAAATGTATTGAAAAGTATTTTTATTTCCAGGTTTTCAGGAAGGTTAAACTATTGATAGTTTTGAGTGATTATTTTTTTAAAATTAGTTTTAAAAATTTTTTTCGGAAATTCTCCCTCATTTTTTTGTAGGTATGATTCAAAATTTTTAATTTTTTCAAATAAATTTCAAAAATAAAATTATTATTAACCATTTTGATTATTATTATTGCTGCTTCTATACATTCTTAATAAATGTAAAAGAGGCATTGCTTCTGCTTTTTTAAACAAAAAACAGTTATTATTGTCAAAACAAACAAAAAAGCACATTAAAAACAATTTTAAATTTAAAGAATTAATTGAAGAATATTTTGATAATTTTCTTTTTTGGTGAAGTTTTTCTAATTTTTCTGATTTTTCTTGTTGTTGTTTAATTTTTATTATTTTTGTTTCCATTCTTTGTTGCAAAAATTAAAAATAAAATTATTTAAAAATAATTAAGTATAACCTAAAATTAATTAAATAAATTGGAAAGATTGAAAATAAATATTTTTTATTATCTATAATTTTTAAAATAAAGATGGTGTTTTCAAATTCTCAAATCAGTTTGTTATTTACTCAAGACAAAAAACAATGACAGAATATTTAATCAAAATTTGATTTAAAAAATACAAACTTTAATTTATAGATTAGGTATTTAAATAAGTTTTTAGATCTTAATTAAGGCTGCTCACGACAGGTTTTAAAACCGATAATTTTGATATTTTTTGCCGAAATTAAACAATCCTAATATTAATATGTATTAATCCTTAGTTGAGTAAACTTCTAAATGCTTTGCTTTGGGAAAATCTAAGTAAATTTATATTTTACAAAAAATACATATAGGTAATTGTAAAATATTTTTGGAATTATTTAAGAATAATTTTTACTGAAAAAGTAATACATATTTTGAGAAAAACAATTTCCTGAAAATTAATTTAAAAAAATACTTTAAATTAGCTTCTCTTTAAATAAAAAAAACTGTCACTACTTTTACTCCCTCTCTCCAATTAATTTTGATAGCGTGAACTTAACACGTTTAAATGTAAAATATATTTAGAATTTATTTTTTGACATTTATTTTTGTTAAAAGAAAAACTTTTTGACAGAATTTAAATTAAAAAAATGTTAAGAAATTGTAAAAATAAATAAATTTAAATTTTTTGAGAATTAATTTAATGACGTGAAGGTTAAAAAATTGTTTATTGAATTGTAAAAAAGTTAAAAATATTTTTTGAAGGAAAAATTTGGAGAAAATCCATTTACTTTTAAAGCAAAAATGGATAATTACTTAAAGCATACTTTTTAAAATTAAATGGGCGAATTTAATATTAAATTTAATGGTGTGAATAAGGTTGTCGAATAGTTTGAAATCTTCAGATATCCGGATCCGATATTCGGCCCTTTTTGGATCCGGATATTCGGATCCAACAACCTTAGTTTGAATAAATAAAATAAGATATTCGGTGTGAACATAATTAGTGACACATTATTAATTTCTGTCTAAAACAGCTTAAACCCCAATTTAAAATATTTTTTAAAATTTGGTTGTCATTGTGTGTGTGTGTGTGTGTGTTGGGGGGGGGGGGCTAACTGATATCTCAAAATTAAGTAACCATCCTTCTAAGAATCAAAGATATTCAAAAATGAAGCCAGTTTGAGTATAGAGAAAACCCTTATATATTTATCAGTCCAAATAAATTTATAAAATAAATATCAATTAAAATTTAAAAATACTTCCAAAAATGCCAAAACTATTTTGATAAATAGTAAAATGTTATAAAATAAATTGCTATTTAAATATAATTAAAGTTTTATGTAAATTGTTGTTACCCACAAAAAATAAATTAAAAAAAGGAAATAAAATAAAAATTAATTTATTTTAGCTTTTCTTTTTTTTCAACAAAAAAGTCTAAATTTTATGGTTATTGTACAATTAATTATTTTGTGTGTATAATTCTTAGATAAATTAAAGTGCCAAAAACAATTTATTTTGCTCCAATGAATATTTAAACTTTTTTTTTCTTTTTTTTTTGCTCCTTTTTCAAGGAAATGTTTAAAAATAAAAAATTAAATGAATAAATCATTAGATTATTTTAAAATAATTTCTCCTGACTTGGAAGTAGACAAAAAATGAAAAATAAAAATTCCTAGAAAATATTAAGAAGAAAAAGAGGGATGGAAATAAAATTATGTAAATTTTAGTGAAGGATTGTAATTAATTAATTAACTACCTAATATATATTTTTATTGAAAGAGAAGACAGAATACCTATATTAAATAGGGTTGTTCCACGACGGGGGGAGAGCACAAGGAACAATTTTCGGCGAGGCAGTGCCACGGGGGGAGGGGACGGGGAATTTTCGAAAAATGTCTCAAATTCCCCGACTTTCGGAGTCGGGGACGGGGAAGAAACCTAATATTAAATATGTAAAATAAATTCAAAAATGGAATTTAAAATAATTAATTTCCAATATTTTTAGAAAAGTATTTTAAACTGAATAATTATCTATAGAAAAACAACCCATTTAAATAAACAAAATAAAAAATAATAAAAAAAATTATTTTTATTATTGTACTAAATTGGAAAAGGGCGATTTTTATATGAAAATAAAGCAAAGTGACAAAAAAATAAAAAAGTTTTTAAACGTTTAAAACGTAATTTCCGCTCCCAAAAGTGGCTATTTTGGTTAGGTAGTTGCCAAAAATGTGGCGGGGGAGGAAATAACGAGGAAAAAGTAAATATCCAAATATAGGGAGTTGATAGGAAATAAACTTGTTTCGAGGGGATTTTTTAAAGAGGAAAGGAGGGGGGGGGGGGAATTGATGTGTGAATGATGTTAAAAATGGCATTAAATATTTTGGGTAAATAAATTAATAAAATTTAAAGGTTGTCTATTTAATTTTATTTAAATTACCCAATTTAAAAATCTAAAAATTAAAATTAGCTAAATTGAAAAAGCCAATGAGTGCTTGATAAATCATCAAAATTCATACATACACTAAAATATTTAAAAGAAGTATTTATCAATCGAAAGCCCTGGATGTGAGGATTATTTTCGCCAACAGGATTGATTTGATCAGATCATCGTACAAAAAGTTACAGCCAGATAAAGATCAAAATCACGATTGAGCGCATTTATCGAGCTGTAACTTTTTGTAACATGATCTGATCAAATCAATCTATTGGCGAAAATAATCCTCACATCCAGGGCTTTCAGTTAATATATTAATTATTTAAATCAATTAAGAATCCAAAGAATTATGGCCCAAAATATGGCCATGTACACACCGGCCGGTACACAATGATCCTTACCCAGTATTACAAATTAATTAACAAAAAAAGTGTAGCTTCATAAACTTTAAAATTATTATTTTTAAATATAAATATTTTCAATGTTTGGACAGCTGTTTTTATTTCTTTGTACATATGTAGTTTTAAAATAAATAAATAAACAAATAAGGACAAACCATCAAAAGAAATTTTGGGAAATATAAAAAAGGAAATATTCCCAAAAATAGGAAAAATGATTTTTTAAAGCTTTGAGAGGAAGAATATTTTAAAGGAAGAAGATGAAAAGTTAACACACCGACCGACAGACTAAAAAAGGGGGAGAAAGGAAAAATTAAAGGAAAACGTCAGTTGTTTTTACGTTAATGCAAATTACGTATTGTCGGCATGGAATTGAATGTATTTATTTATGTACATCATTTGCTAAAAATGAATTTTTGAAATTTAAATGATTGCGTAGATTTTAAAAAATAAAAAAATTAACTTAGAAGGAAAGTTTCCTTTTAAAATTCTTATTTCCGCCTTTAGAAAATATATATTTTACATTTACATATTCTGAAATTTATTTAGATAATTAGAATAGAAAAAGCTCATAATTATTTTAATTTTTTTATCAAAAAGGTAACCGTCCCCTTTTCCTCATGGTTCCCCCGAATTCCCCCCCCCTCCCCCTATACATTTTACCCAACGATGGAAAGGTGACTTTTTAATTTCTAGAGCACATGAAGATTACTCGAAATTTTCTTGTAAAGATTCATTTCCCTCCCCGTGGTGATATTAAAGTGTGGAACTAAAATATTAATGTTAAAATTAGCAAGAAGCTAAAATCCAAGTTATTCCTAAATCTATTTTTTCTAAATAGTTTTAACGAATTATATATTATTTTTATTAAATTTTGAAAAAATTGTATTTATTAAATAAATTTAAAATAAATATAAATGTTAAATAATAATTTAAAGTTTTTATAAAATAAAGTAACATTATATAATATTTATACATATATTCAATTTATTTTAACAATATAATTTAAAAATCTAAAGTGCCGAAAAGTTATGAATAAAAGGCTAAAAATTTTGTTAAAAAGGTTTTTTTAAAAGTAAAAGTTTTGCTTTTATTAAAATAAATTCTGACGGAAATGGAGTGGAGAAGAAATGACTAAAAGTAAAAAAGGTTTTTTGACTAAAATTGACATTTTTTTATAAAGGTAGAAAAAATTATTAGAAAAAAGTATAAAATAATCTTTTAGTATAATAAACAAATTATTTTTGACATTTTTAAAAATGATTTTTGATTTTATAAAGATAATTAATTTACAAAAATTGAGTACTAGTAAATTAGACATAGTTTAGAGTATATATGTAAATTATTGGATTGCGAATGTTCAAAAAATATTTTAATGTTATTTAATAAACAACTGTAAATATTTCTCATCATTTACATATTTATTTTTTAGTTTTACCTATTTTCAAGCATATTAAAATAATCCTCTAAAACTAATTTTTAGATATTCTCTTTCTTCATATTTAAATTGTGCCCATTAACCTTATTCTGCTAATAACATAAAAAGCTCAAGTTTAAAAAATGTAGTGAGGCCATGGTGACTCTTTTGCCTTATTTACAGGGCATTTGCCCTATTTTTGACCCTGAGTGAGGCTTATAAATAAAGGAAGAGAAATAATTTTTATTAAAAATTAACTTGTAAATCATTAATAATACATAAAAACTTTTAAATAAAACAGATATTTTTCTCAAAGTTTTTTTAAACTCATAATTTTCTAGATTCAAATAATAAAATCTTGTACAAAATCAAGATAACTTTTATTTTTAACAATTTAAAAATGCAATCTCTACCACTCGAAGTTCAACTTGACGTTTTAAAATGTCTTAATTTTGATCAAATATTCTCTGTTAAACAAACAAATTTTTATTTTCATCATTTTATTAGTAAATATGAGAGTGGATTGGCGAGAATGAAATTTAATGGACTTAAAATAGTAAATAGCTATTTTTAATTTTAATTTAAATTTTTATAGACTTCCATTGACCCTACTGATCTAAAGCATTTAGAACATAAAATTATTGATGTGGAATCCGGAATTTTTAAATTTACTTTAAATGATCGACTTGAAGAGAAGGTTTAATTAATTATATTAAACACAAATTACATTTAAATTTATTTAGTGGCAGACATCGATAGATAAATTAATTCCGTTAGCTTTGCATGATATTGGTAGATCTGGAAATATATTTATTGTTTTGGAGAGAACAAAGAATGAGAAACTCAGTTATTATATGTTAAAATTGCCCGATTTTCCCCAAAACATAAAAGAAATGACTATTATCCGATGTTGGTTAGAAAGACTTTTTGATTGTGCTTTTGAACGTTTCTACAATATTCTTGGATGTTTATTTAATCCAGAATTAATTAATTTATTATTTGATAACGACAAATTAATGCCACTAAAATTTCACGTACAAAGACCCTATATTTATTTTAGAAAGAATATACTATTTGAAAATACTTTGAACTTCGTTTTAAATCATCTATCAATTTCTAAATCTACTTTTATTTCTTTTTTCGGAGATAATATTTCAGAGGATCAAATGAATATTTTATTCAATATTTTAACAAATGAAGGAAATAAATTACCTCAATTTTGTTTAAGAAGTAACAATTGTTTTGAAATGTCACGTATTTATGATCTTATTGTTAAAGTTAATTTAAAAAATTACTCAAAAATGAATTAAAATTTTAGCATATAAAAACATCCAAAGACTGTTCAAAAATGGTTCCTGTTATTATCCTTAATTATTTTTCCTTATCAAATTTTAAATTGGACGAGAAAGCAAAAAATGTTGAAGTTGAGCAATCCCATGGGTTTAACTATACAAAATACATAATTGCCAATAAACACAATTCAACAGTGAAATTTTCCTTTTGCAATGGAGTGCGTACAGAAGGATCCATTTTTCGGTTTAGAATCCAAATAATGAAATTATAGAACCTGAGAAGAATACAGACAATTAAATTAGACAATTAAATGTTAAAATTTTTAGTTTATATTTTTTTTTATAAATTTTTTGTTTTATAACATTAGTGACAAGTTTTATTCAGGTAGAGCTATCAATTTTAAATATTTAAAAGATTTTACTGCCATGATATTTTTCTTTATCCCCGGTATTCCTCTTAATCCATCCGGAATGATTATAATTTAAACGCAATTTAGTGAAAAGTGTCAATTGTAGAAATGAAACATTTAGGCTTTAATACACAATTTTATTTAATAGTTTTAAATAATAGCAAATAAATTCACCAAAATATTGTTCTCAATTTTTTGAGATTGATACTTTACCTTAATTTTACTTAAATCCAATAATAGATAAACTTCGATATATACAGTCAATTATATTTCCGTTTTAAAGATAGCCATCGCCAACAACTTTTGAGCTTTTTTAGATGTCGAAGATGCTTGATATAACTAAGTCTTGAATAAAGATATTTCTTAGGGTTTTGATCTTGAGTCATGTCTTTAAAACAACCTAAAAATAGTTGATCAATTTTTATGAGGCTTGTTATCACGGTACGCTGCGATATGTTTGGTGCCGGCACGGCCTTCAAAACAAATCCAATAAACGAATAAAAATACTACAAGAATAAATAAAAAATAATTTTGGCCTAACTACACTTTAGCAACGTGATCTATAAATAGATTATACAAAAATTACCAAAATAGCCGCGGACTCATATATGGGCACAGATACAGGGCTCGAAATGGTCATTTAAGGGAGGATTTTTGGGGTGAAAAAATTCGAATATGCAAATAATAGCTCAGTCGAAAGGGCTCGACAAGCTGAGTTGAATGACGCAAATTGTTATGGGACGCATAAACTGGACAAGAATCAAAAATAAAATTCTAAACAAAATTCTAAAATTTTTACTATTTTGCCACAATTATTTAAATTTAATTTTCCTCCACCTCAACCCACTCATTCTCAAAAAATACAAAAAAAGAGGCGGATATTTATTTTAATTAAAACAATTTATCCCCTTATCTATTAAATATTGTGAATTTATTTCTACTCAAAAACGAATTTAAAAAATATCTCTCACGCACTTATTAAATATTTTAATTAATTTACATATTTATTAATTTTAATAATTTTAATTTAATTTTTTTAGAATAATTAACAAATAAATTAATATTATGTTGCTGTTTAAAAATAATAAAATAAAACAAAATACTATTTTATTTATTATTTTATTGATATTATTTAAAGAAACTCATTGGTAAATAATTAATTTTATTTTTAAATAAATAATTATAATCAAATTAAATTAATGTTTAATTTTAATTTTGTTATTTTTCTTCTTTTCTTCTAAATTCTTTTTTGATTCTTCATATTCTTGTAAAGATTGAAGAAAATATTGAAAAAATAAATTTAAAAAATATTTTAACCTTAAATGGAAGGAAAAATTTTAAAAATTAAAAACATTCAATTAAGAAAGTTTTTTTGAATTATTTACCGGTTTAATTTATTGAAAATTTACCTAATTCTGATATTTTATTTTTTATATAAATTATATTTTAAAGAAAAAACAGAACACATTTATTTATTCTTTAATCCATTATTTCTTAATTAAAAAAATATTTTTTTAATTTCCCCAGAGGAAATAATTTTTTGTTAAAATTAAATTAAACAAAAATTGTTACAAATATGTAAACATAAAATGTTTAAAAAATATTTTTTGGAATTATTTAATTTTAAGAAATTAAAAAACATTTTTTTAAATTTAATTTAAATCATTTAGTTACAATATGGAAAGACTTTTACAAAATCGCCGAATTAGATCATTTCAACGTTCATATCAAAATGAAAATAACAAAATTTTGATTCCAATTACCAGAAATTCTTTAATTAGAATATCAAAACAAGTAATTTATTTAAAATAATTTTAAAAAATAATTAATTTTAAAGGAATTAAAATTAATTGGGGGCGTTTCAAAAAATTGTTTTTTTACCCCCATACAATGCATGATACAACATGTTTGTTAATTTAGTGTCTTAAAAATTATTTAATATTTTTAAGGATATGAATAAATTAAGCCGAATGTTGGACCAAACAAATAAATATTAATTAAAATTAAATATTTTTTTGTTTTGGTAAATATGTATAATTTTAAAAGATGTTGAATTAAAAAGTTTTTAACAACAATTTTTTAAGTAAAGTAATTTAACTTCAGCATTATGATTTTGTGTTAATTAAATATCTTCACATTAACCAATTTTTAATTTAACATTAACCAAATATTAACCATTTAATTGAGTTTTGAATAAAAAATTCGAAAATAAAAGTATTAGCTCATTCGAAAGAGCTTGTCGAGATGAGCTGTATTACACAGAAATCAACGAAATCTGACATGATTGCACCATCAAATCGAACTGATTTTGGTGTCATTCGACTCAGCTCGACGAGCTCATTCAAACGAGCTCATTTGTATTTTCTGATTTTTTACCCCGAAAATCAGTTTGGAAGGAAGAAAAAAGTAGAAAATTAATTTTAAAAAATTTAAAAATCAAAAAAATTCAAAATTGCCTTTAATTTCAATTTTATCCTTTTATTCTTATTCTCATTTTTACACAATTCCTTCTGATTATGATGAGAGGCGCGTATTAAACAAATTCTCTTTTCTAAACATTTCTTTCCACAAAATACATCATCTCGACGAACATAATTTCTTAAAAAAACAATTTTCTTTTGAATTCTCTTTTAAAATTACTTATTAAATTTTCTAGTAATTTCTGGATCTCTTTCAATTCTTTTAATTAATTCATTCCATTCTGTAGCACTCAAATCTTTTAAATTATACTCATCTTTAGCAGAGTAAAGAAATTCCCATTTTGGGGATTCTTTGGAAGTTTTTGTGTTTGATAAATTTAAAAAATAAGTCTAAAAAAGAGGAAAATTTTCTTTTGAAATATTCAAAAAACACCTCATAATCCAATATTTCCCAATCTGTTGGATTTACACTATAAATTCTATATGCCGGATTAAGCTCTTCGAAAGTTGAAACACTTGGGGCAGTAAATAATACAGAGAGGGGTGCAGTGCCTCTATTGTTCATATCAGTAAAAAAGAGGGAAAAACTATCATAATGAGTGTGTCCAAAGAATTGCCCTTTAATTGTTTGTTCAAATCTGAAAATAAAAATTTTTTAATAGAAATTCAATTCCCAATCCAATTTTATTTAAATTTCTAAAAATTTTAGTTAACCTTACAACAATTCTGTAATAATTTCGTGACCAACTTTCAAGACACTCTTCATCGCCTGGAGGAATATGTGACAAAATGTAGACTGCCTAAAAAGGAATAAACATTTTAAGAATGAGAGAATCCATCCATTAATTACTCTCAAAAAATTTCGCAGGCAAATAAAAATTATAAACATTCTTTTAATTTTAATAAAACATTTTAACATACCTTTCCACTTTTCTCGGCATTCCAAAGTTGATTAACTAGCCAAGTTAAAGCACCATCCGGATCTGTTTGGTTAATATAAATAAACATATTTGTATTGTCACAATAACTAAATTAACTAAATATTTTACTTTTTAAAAATAAAATACCCATTGTTTAATGAAATTAGTCGAAGATTGCCATAATCAACTGCATAAGAACCTCTGCTATAAAAATTTTTATAATTAGTATATTCCGTCGTCCCTCCCTTCAAATGTCAAAAAATAAAAGTATTTTGGTCCAATGTGATATTTAGTACCGCTATATTTCTTTTTTACAATGACTTTTAACGTTACAGTGGCGGAAATTTAGTTAAGAAAAAATATTTTTAGTAATATTTCTAAAAATTATTTTTTCAAACATTAATTTGGAATATTCAATTTTATATAATTTTGTAGCTCTATTTATAGGCTATCTAATGACCATTCATCTTTTAAATAAAAGTTAACTATTAAGCCGGAAAAATTCATTAAACTAAAGAGGGTCTAAAATTGCGCGGAAATTTAGTTAAGAAAAAATAACTCACTTGAATTTTTCATAGTTCCAACATTAGGAAAAATCCACAAAAATTCCATTAAATATATATAGTGATATTATAAACAAATAAAAAAAATTAGGCCGATATCTCATCTCAATGCCAAGATTTGGACACCTCGAAACGTCTAAAATTAACGTAAAACACAGGTAGGTCTCTTTAAAAAATATTTTCGACCCCTTAAAGGTAAAATAGAAAATTGATTTTAGGCTCTTTCGAAAGCCCTTGAAATTTACTACAAGATAGCCGAATCGAATTTATCAGAAAAAAATTTCATAGAGAGATACAGACCGTTACTCATACAAATCAACGAAAACGCTTAATTTACCCCATAAAATGCCCCTTGCGGTTGCTTCTGAAGAGTTACAGGTCTGTATCTCTCTATGAAATTTTTTTCTGATAAATTCGATTCGGCTATCTTGTAGTAAATTTCAAGGGCTTTCGAATGAGCCTAAAATCAATTTTCTATTTTACCTTTAAGGGGTCGAAAATATTTTTTAAAGAGACCTACCGAGTTTTACGTTGATTTAGACGTTTTCGAAGTATCCGGATTTTGACACTGGGCAGAGATATTGGCCTAATTTTTTAAATTTGATTATTATATCACTATATATATTTGATGGAATTTTTGTGGATTTTTTCCAATGTTGGAACTATGAAAAATAAAAGTGTGTTATTTTTTCTTAACTAAATTTCCGCGCAATTTTAGACCCGATTTAGATAAATGAATTTTGCTGGCTTACTTGTTAACTTTTATTTAATAAATGAGTGCTCATTTGATAGCTTATAAATAAGGCTACAAAATTATATAAAATTGAATATTCCAAATTAATGTTTGAAAAAATAATTTTCAGAAATATTATTAAAAATATTTTTTCTTAACTAAATTTCCGCCACTGTAAGTCGAGAGAGGGAGGCAAAGGCTATCAAAGAAAACGAAAAAACTAACTAAACAAAATCTTCATCAGCTTCAACTGATAAAAGACCCTGGTCTGTTTTATGTGCTTCAGCCAGTAAAGCTCGATACATCCAAGTTGGTCTAAACTGATCAGGTACAAAGTGAGGCCCAAAAGCATTGACTGGGACAGCCTCGTGATTGCCGAGAGCCCAAAATATTGGAATTTGTGGTAGATGGTGTTGTAAAAGGGCGGATAAATTGGCAATGGCTGATAGATGTCCTTCACGAGTATATTCTAGTAAAAAATTCTTAAATTATTTAAAGACAAAATTAAAATAAGTTTAATTGATAAAGAATTACCCCAATCTCGATGATGAAGGTAATCGCCAGAAAGAAGTACAAAATCAAGCTGTAAATTTAATCACAATTATATGTTAGGAATACACAAAATCTTCTATTCGAGGGATAAAAAGAGGTGAGAGTTATTAAAGGAATAATTAAAAAGTATCAGCAAAAACAGGCAAAAATCAGATCTAATACTAAAAATAAAGGATGAAATATGTATCTAATAAACCCTATTCGTTTAAAAATTCCAAAAATATGTAATTTCAACAGAAAATTTTTTAATAAAAAATTTCCCTACTTTATGAGTTCGATTAATATGTTCTAACAAATTTTCTACAGTTCGAAGGGGAATATCACATTTTGCTGCTGTCCCCCAATATCCCGCTTTCTTTTTTACAAGTTCTCCTTTCTTCGGCATTTTAATACAACAAACAGGTTCCTCACAATCTGCCTCACTCCCTTCCAAATAAGCCGGGTCAAAATGAATATCTGATAATTGCAAAATCCGAATAGGTGTTGTTTTGTTTGTTTGATTTGTTGACGATTTAAAATTCTTAAAAGTTGGAGGAGAAGGAGGGAGAGATACATTCCTAAAAAAAGAAGGGAGGGGGAAAGGGTTAGGGTCTAAAAAGGCTACCAATTCGTGTCAAATGGATTAATTGGATTTCCACATCCATTCAAAATTAATCCACAGAGCTGGCTTGGCTGAAAAACCAATTTCTCTAAAACATAAAGAAATTCGTCCTAGAAATTTTAAAATTTAAAGATTTTGGACATTAATTAAACTTTAAATTGTGAGGTAATTCCTCTACAAACAAAAGATTTTTGATCAGCAAAATGTCTACAAACATATTCTGCTGTGTTTAAAATTTCTGTTTTCGTGTAATTCATCTAAAAAATTAAAAAAATAAAAAGAAGAAAGAAAATCAAATTAAAAAATGCCTCATAAAGATATCGAATTACTTCAACACCAGTCTTACACCCAGCACATTTCCAATTAAAGGCTTGAAATTTTGGATAAATTTTTATTGTAAGAGTATATTTATTTGTAATTACCAGATGATGAATAAAAACAATAAAAAGTGAAGAAAATAAAATAATAAAATATTATGTAGAGATGAGAGGGCTTGTAATATTGCATTTTTGAGTTAAGAAAATTAAATTTAAAAATTCGAGAAAATAAAAAATATTATTTATAATTATTTTTTAAATTTAAATAATAATTTTTAATTTTTTGTCTAATATTTTTTGTTTATAACCATCTAAATTAAAAATAAGTTCAAAAATCAATGGAAAAAAGCAAAAAAGAAATTAACGAGCATATCAGGTGACCAGCAAATGATAAATAACTATTTTTTACATTTCTCTCCAAATTTTTAACTATTTATTTGTTGGCCTTGGACTTTCCCTAACAAATTTAATGAAATACCACTCATAATTTATTTAAATAAAATTATTAAGGTCGTGGCGGGGATGATAAATTAAAATACTTTTACTTTTTAATTTTAAAGAGTGGCAGCCTCTCTAAGCCAATCAACTTAAGTTGAACTTAATTTTTGATGATTAGTTTGAACTAAGTTTTTTTTTCCTAGATACCCCTCATCAACAACCGTTAATAATGAGCAATTTTCAGGGAGGTTCGGGTACTCCTTCCCGAGTTCTGAGTTTTTTTATCTGACAATTAGTTTAAAAACATTAATATTACTCTCGTTGAAAATGAGAGTAAAATATTTATTTAAAATCTAAATAAGTACATTTTAATTATTAATTAAATTATTTTTATTTCCTAAATTATCAATTTATTCAAAAAAACTACAAATTATTTAATTATTCTCTTATTTTGTATTAACTTTTATTTTTGAACGTTTATTTAAAAATCAATCTATATTCAATTATTTCTTTCCAATTTTTAAAATTATTTTCCTAAATTATTAGAAGATATATATGCAGAACTAGCAGCTCTAGGTAAATGAGCAGAAGATCTACTTGAACTTAAAGCATTTGGTGTTGCATTAACTCTTATTTTTGAACGAACACGCAACAAAGAATTCTCCGCTTCATCCGCTCTTTCCTCAGCTTCATCTAATTGTGACTGAATTTGCCGGAATTTTTGTAAATTCATTGCTGCTACTTCCTCCTTTAAATATTTTTTGTTTGTAAATTTATTTTTAAATTCACAAAAAGCTTACAGCCTCTTCTGTTTGTTTTTTGTAAACTCTAATTTTTGCTTGAAGTTTTTCAATTAATTCATGCATTTTAGAGCAACATTTACGTTGTTCCTCAACTTGAAATTGTTTCTCACGAACTTCGCGTTCTGACTAAAAAATTTTAAATCCAAATATTCACACAAATAAATACAAAAAAGTACTTTATTTAATTGTCTAATAATTTCTTTATGACGTTTTTGTTCGCTATCCAATTCGTTATTTCTAGCAATAATTAATTGTTGTAATTGATCAACAGTCCTTTGACCAACACGTTGGACTGTAGCTTCTGCCTGATCGAGACGAAGTTGTAATTCTTTTAATTGAGAATCTAATAATCTTTTTTGTCTTTCTAAATGATCGTGATGATGCTGCTCATTCTTTAATTCTTCATTAAGTCGGGTTAAATCAGCATTTACTTTTTTGAATACTTCTTCTGCTATTTTTAGTTCATTTAATGTTTTATCTAATTCTGTCTAAAGAAATTTAAAAATAAGTTTTATAATTACATATTTTTTAGTAATATTTAGATTAATCAAGTCTTTAATAAATTTTTACTATGGAAAGGAAAATAAAAATTACTAAAACAATAATAAATCTAAAGTAAAAAATCCTTCTCGATATATTTACACCTAGAGACCGGACTGGGAGTGTAGTAGAGATCTCGATAACCGAGATTTTCGATCGAGATCTCGTCTTGGTCCGGTCTCAACTTACACCTATGAAGTTGTTCACTTTAGTTGGAAAACAGGGACGGGCCCCTGCCGAATTTTCAAAAGCGATAGATGGAAAGTAAAATAAATTCCATTCCTTGTAGAACCCCTTTTCAATGATTTATTTTTTTTATTAAAAATATTTAAAAGAATATTTAATCATTCTCCTTTTACCTTAACAATTTGTAAATCATTATCTAATTGTCTCTTAACAGCATTTAATTGTGCATTTTCAACCTGATATTCACCTTTACGTGAACGTTCTTCTTGTACTTCTGCCTCAATACGAGATTTTTCTCTATCAATAGCTTCTTTCCTAATTAATAATTCATCCCTTTCGCTAGCTATTATATTTAATTTTCTAAATAAAAATTATTATTTTTGTTTCAAAAATTCCTCTTTTCACCTTTCACTCATTAAGAAATTCTCTCTTTGTTCCTCACGTTTTCTTTGTTCTTCTTCAACTTGTAATTGCAATTCTTGTATTTGAGCAATTTGTTTTTTAATATTTTTTTGTGCTTCAACATTTGTTTTGTTTGCCATATCTAAAGCTAATTCTAAATCATTTATGTCAGTTTCTAATTTCTTTTTTGATTGTATTAATTGTTGTTTTGCTCGTTGTTCATTTTCTAATGAAGTTCTGATTGATTCTATAGCTCGTTGATGATTCTTTATTGTATTCTAAAATTTTTTTTTTGGAAATAAAGAATAAATATTTAAAAATGTAAAATCTAAATTAGGTAATTTTTAATTAATGGAGACCGAAGAAAAGTTTGTTGTATCGAGTGTTTTTTAAAATCGGGGATCACTAAATATATCAAAATTCAACATAAATACATGAGTCTACTTTTTATGAAAGATCTTGAGATATAAAATGGAATTTTAGGAATTGCCATATTTACACTAATAAAAATTCAAAGTGAGTTAATGCCTTTGAACTATCGCTACAAGGAATACTTACTATATTTAGCTATAATTAAGAGAGAGAAGGCAATTATTGTTCCAACCTACATATAATTTTAGAGAAAATAAAGTAATTTGCTCAAAATAAAATTATTTTTCTTAAACTTTCTCCCAAAAAAGAATTAATTAATTAAAATAACACCTCAAAATCTTCTTCCTTCTCACGAATACGCCGATCAATTTCAGTTCGGATTTGAGAAACCTTTAAAAAATATTTTTTAATTTAATATTATTATTCATTATTTTCACTTCTGTTTGCAATCTTTGCACTTTTCCTTCCTCCAATTCAAGTGCAGATTCAGCTTCTTCTAAAGCATGTTGCAATGTTTCTTTTTCTAATTCCAATTGTCTTATCTTTTTTTGAATATCGTGCATATTTCGATGCCAATTTGACAATTGATCCTAAAGAAGGATGGAAATTAAATAACAAAAAACTCAAAATATTCTAATTAATTATTAATTTTGCTCTCTCTAGCTTTGCAAGGAAATTAAAAAAAATTTTTTGTCAAGTAATTAATTAAAAATCAACACCTGCAGATCTCTTAATGACAACGACAAAGTTTTATTTTCTCTGCGTAATTCATCTGCCTGATCAGAAAGAGAAGTAGAAGCACTTTGTAAAGCAAAAACCTTTTGTAAAAATATTTATTTTTAATTAGGTATTTATTTAATACATCAGAAACACTTCTTCTACATTCTTCTTGTGTTCTTTCAATTTGCAAACTTAATTCATCACATTGTCTACGCCAATCTTTAATAACAAATTCATGTGCTTCTTGTTTCTTTTGCCATTGGAATATTTGTGTTTGTGCACGTTCTGCTTCTGCCCTAGCTTCTTCTGCATCAGTCAACAACTTTAAACAATTAATTATTTTTAGTAAAATAAATTCCCCCAACTTTTGCATTAGTTTTTTCAACAGCAGCCAATTTAGAATTTAATTCACCCAAATGATCACTTAAATCCAATTTTTGATTTAAACGTCTACGTCTTTCCTCTTCCAATTCATCAGCAGCAACTAATCCCTCCCCTTCAAATCTTCCCCTCCATTGCTGTGTTTCAGCTTTAGCTTTACTTAAATGCTTCAAAGTTTCTTCTCTATTATGTATTTCTTCGTCTATAGCCTCTCTTATTTGCTCAATTTCGTGTTCTAAACCTTTTAATTGAGCACTAGCTTCCATTCTTTCTTGATGTTCTTCTTCTAATGATCTTTTAGCTTCTTCCAATTGAGCTAAAGCTTGGGCTTTTAATTTCCCTATTTGCCCTAAATGTGTTTCGCTTTCCTCTAATTGCTGCTCTTGATCAGAACTTTCAGTTTGTAATCGTTGTTTAACTGCTTGTAATTCTTGAATAAGTCTATGTTGTTCTTCATATCTTGTTTGTAGTTCATGAACTTGTGATTCTAAATATATTGAAATTTTATAAAAAAAATTTTTTTCCTAAAGAGAGACTAAAAAATTTTTTCTAGTAAGGCTTGCATGAATTGTTTCTGATCAAAGTTTAGTTGTTAGGACTAAATTTAGACTTGTTAGACTAAACTAAAAAATTATGACTAACTTTATGACTTAAAAAGACTTAACTAACTTGTTAGACTTGTTAGGACTAAAAGACTCAAGACTAACCAAGTTAAGATTTATTAAAATCTGTGGGGAGGCTGCTAAAGCGATACACTCAAAAGTCTGCTGAGTGTATCGCTTAGTTAGCAGTATCTAATAAGATTACCTAAATTTTTAGATTGCCTTTCGTATTCATTTCTTTGTCTTTGTTCATCTTGTTGTTGTGATTGAATATCCTCAATTTGTCTTCTAAGCGTTTCTTTATCCTTTTCTGTTTTTCCTCTAGCATTTTGTAAATTTTCAAGTCTTTCAGTTGCTTCACTAATTTCATCATTATTTCTTTTTCTAATTAAAGACAATTGTTGTTCACTTTGTTGATTTATCTCTTCCAATTCTTGTCTTAATCTAATTAATTCCAAATCTTTTTTCTTAGCTAATTCTGCCTGTGCTGCAGCCT